CACTATCCACGATGTCGTTATGCTTTTCGATGTCTGCCAAAGACTGGCCATAATGGGTTAATTCTTCATCTTCATTTAGGTTGTAAATACTTTTTTTCTCATGATGTCGCTGACAAAAGTGCAGGGCAAATCAGTTTTCCAAAATTATCATTCATTTCTCAGCAAAAAAAAATTATTTTTCCGTTATGTGTGAAACATGACAACATAGCCTAACCAGCCTTAAGATTATGCTGGGTCATGTGATCAATGATTTAGGTATAAACAGAACCCACGGATGGAAATTCTTAAAAAAAAATCAATGGGTCAGGCTAAGTTACCAATAAATCAAGCTGTCTTTCCTGCCAACAACGCTCCTCCACCACTTACTCCCCGCCTGACAGAGCTGAGGGCTGGCCTTTTAGTGAAGAACTCCAGTATGTGCTGCTGCCATCTGCTCTGGTTCCGATGTTTATCCACTTAATAACTAGCATTTGCAGAAGGTCATGTTCCCTTGGGCCTACCTGACAAGGTATATCCCCTATAACTGGCAGGCAAGTAACCCCAAAGGTAAATGAGAAACAGCCCTCTCTTTGAGCTTGACTTCTTTGTAAAATTTAAAGCAGACTCTTCTGCATTTTTCTTTTCATACCTGTTGTTCCAGAGCAAATCTCTTCATCATCTTTTCCTCTGGGCTTATGTTGCTATTGTACTCCCCAAAGCGTTTATCTGTAAATATATTGGACTTATCTCTTTCTTTGTACTCCTTTAGTAAAGTCTGCGTACGCTGGGAAAAAAAAAAAATCAAATAATTTTTACAAAAAAATCCCTCAATTGCCCCTAACGGGAGCATCAGAATGGTGTGTATTTTAAAGTTCAGAGCTGTGTGCTGTGATGTCAAAAGTCTAACCACACTATTTCATCCACAATAGGTCTTCCCTAGTAAGAATAGAACTTTGAGAAGAGTTAAATCAACTCATTTTCAGTTAATGGGATAATCATTTTCCTCTTTAGAGTCTACCTGGTGCTGAAAGAAAGGAAGGGCCAAAAGCATTAACAGCCAGGCTATGTTGAATTGCTCTTTTGGCTGTCACAGCTGCCTCAGGATTTAAAAGTGTTCACTCAGGCCTGATTCACTTGGAAAAGCACAGTAAGTTTGGATTCCTTCCATCATGGAGGGACGGTTATTTCCACTGAAGGTCCTCCTAAGAAATGCAGAGTTATGCTTTGCACACGACATGAGGTCATAAAATGAGCTTATCAAATGAGGGAAGTTTATACCTTATCAACAAAGCAATATTTTAAACTCAGAATTCCAACAACTGTATCAAGAATCAAGTATTTAGTATTCTCCCACTAGCAGCAATTAATGAGTTCAATATTATTCAAGGCTGGCTTTCATTGGGGTTGAATTCCCTAAAGCAGAGATTAGACAGAAGGGCGTGAGGAATGACTGTGGCCTCCAAGACCTGAGCTGGCTGCAGTAGAAACTTTTGCCTATCACAGAAATTACTGTTTGCTAAGAGACTACCAATTAGCAGGAGCTTATATATGACCAGTGATGAAAGGAGGTGGTACCCAGACGGGACCATCACACAGAGGGGACCCTGGAACGATCCAATTCCATGGCTTTACAAACCCTAAGCACAAGCTGGGTGCCTTGGCAGGTATTCCAATCCCTATCCCAACCCCAGACTAGAATGTTTCTTATACTCTTCAAGGATTCTGGGTGAGCCAAACATGCATTATCCAGGAGGCCCAGAACCACCCTGGGAAGGGGCATGGAGAAGCTATCCAACACTGGGAAGGAACATTCTTATGACACAGCATGAGTAATAGTTCCTGCATCTCTGTCCCCTCCTCACAAAGGCCTGAGAGGTACAGTCCAGAGCATGGACATGCAATTCCACTAGCCTTACCAACTCCTCGTCGGGGCTTTGGACTGTCCCCAGTGGCCACATCTGTTCAAGAAGATATCCACCTATCTCAGGTCGCACAAGCCAATCAGAGATCACTAGGAAACTGCCCCAGCTTGTAGTGTCAAGCACTAGAGCCTGGGTTTAGATCTGACCCCACCACTTCCAACTGGAAGGTAACATATTTGTTCCCTGCCTCAGTTTTCTCAGGAAAAAATGAAGATAACAGTACTTCCTTCACTAGTCTGTGAGGATTAAGCATAAACATTTCAGTGACCTACTATAAGGAATCTGGAACTAACTACATCAGTAACAGTTTTTTTTTTTTTTAATTTTCTATATTGGGGATTGAATGCAGGACCTGGCATATGCTAGGCCAAGTGTTCTACCCCTAAGCTACGTTCCAAGCCCCTTTTATTTTACCTTGATACAGGGTCTTGCTAAGTTGCCCACACTGGCCATGAACTTGCCATCCTCCTACCGCAGGTTCCCAAAAAGCTGGGATAATAGGTGTGTGCCACCAGTTAATAATTGTTATTTTATAATTTATTTTAGAAATGAAGGAAGAGAGGCAGAGCTATAGAGCGATGATTCTGGAACTGTCCTCTTACTATTACTTTAAAGTGCTGTCCCAAAGCACCCTAACTAGATTAGACAACTGGGACAGCCCATTTACTCCTCAAGAACTAGCAGACATGGAAGGACCCAGGCCCACAGCTTAGCTCTGTGCCCTAACTCACACACACAAATCAAGTTTTAACTTGCTGGATGACCTGCTGTACCCCCAGCTCTGAGCGCTTCAATTATGTGACTTGCTCACATCCTTCAATGCACTGAGACAATGTGCTTTCTACCTATCCCCAAAGTAGTCCACTCATTCAACCCACAAGCACAAATGTGATTCCTTCTAGGAAAAATTTTCTGACTTTCCTAATTATAATAGGAGTTTGGTCATCTCTGAAAGTAGTACTCAGGTTCTACTTCTGATTCCTTCCAGTTTCTGAGTTTCTACCATAGGCCAAGCCCTGGGAACTTGGGGAGGAGTCACAATTCCCATCCCATGTCAGACACAAGAGGTCTCAGCAAGCTGTCCTTTTTGGGCTGTGGGGCTTAGGAGTAATGATTGGGTGGCTGGGGGTGTAGCTTGCTGCCTGGCATGCATAAGGCCCTAGCAGCAAAAACCAAAAAGAAATGGTGACTTGAGCTGCTCATATATAAGCTCCTGCTAATTGGTAGTCTCTTAGCAAACAGTAACTTTTGTGATAGGCAAAAGTTCCTACTGCAGCCAGCTCAGGTCTTGGAAGCCACAGTCATTCCTCATGTCCTTTTGTCTAATCTCTGCTTTAGGTAATTCAACCTCCTTAACCGGTCAGGCTATGAAGGAGTCTGAGAATGACAAGGCAAGAAGTCTAACAATAAAGATATTCAGAGAATGCGTACTATGCACTGGGTGTACTACTTTTATTCTCATAACCACCACAAGGAAAGATGTGCACTATTATCACTTTAAGAGTAAGAAAACCAAAGACAGAGGTCTCTCTACTAGAGGTTACAGGCCCACCCTACACGTCAGGCACTGGAGTGTGCAGTGGACTCGTGTCATCTGTCTTGCTATTATAATGCTGTCAGCTCCTTGTGGTAATGATCTTCCCCTCCATTATCACCTGGTGTACATTCTATGAAGGAATGCAGATTAGAGCTCTTGAGGGCAAGGGCCAAAGCTGGCTTACCTATATCTCTCCAGAGCTAGACCGGGCAATCAGTGCAGCATAAAGGCTTTGAAGACATTGATCCTGAATGCAAGCCCAGCCCTCACCAGGTGTGGGACTATGGGGAATTCACCTTTTTCTTCCTGGGCCTTAATTAATTCACCAACCTCATAATGCATGTTCCTCATAACAACCATAAGAATTGTTTTACTGCCGCCGCTGTGCACCGTCCTGTACGACCCCGGACACCGAACGCGCAGAGCTCAGAGCAAAGGGAAAGGTCAGGCCGTGCTGTGCAGGACGCCCGGTGGCTTCTGAGGGCTCAGCTCTGCCCGGGCAGTCAGAGGAGTCGCCAGAACCGCGCACGTGCAAGGGACCTGCCCACGCCACAGCAAAGCACCGAAGCGGCCCGCGCGGCCTCCACCCTGCAGCCGGGGAAACGCGGCGGCGAGAAGCCGACGGCCGAGCCAGCTCCGGCAGCCCCTCACCTTCCTGATGGCCCGCGCGCGAGCCACGCCGGGCAGCCCCACGTCGTGGCGCGTCTTCCGGCCCAGGATCTGGAACTTCTGCCTGTTGACCTTTATCTCGAATGGGTTCGGGTTGGCCTTCGCCGCGCCCCCGCGTCCCCCCAGCGGCGCCCGGGGCGCCTGCCTCCGCGCCGCGGCCAGCCTGGCCTTCCCCATGCCGAGCGCTCCGCCAAACTCGCGACGAAAGCCAGGGAACCCGCGGCGGCCGACAGCAGTGTTTTACTGGGGAAACGCGTGTGCGGCTGCGGACGCCGCCGAGCGTCGTCTCGCGATAACTACCCAGCTCTCACGGGACCTAGACCAGCCCAGGAGGACGCCGACGGTCTCCCGCTCAGCCTAGGTGCCTATTGGCTGAGCGACTACAACTCCCGGCAGGCTACGCTCCCGCGGCCTCTACGCGGGGCCTTCTGGGAGTCGTAGTGCCCTCGAGGCGCCGCGGCCTCCTCGGGCGCCCTCTTCTGGGAAGCCGTTAGTGGGGAGCCGGCCGCTGAGCCAGAAGAGGGCGGCGGCGGCGGCGGCGGCGGCGGGAGCCGTCGCCGCCGGGGGCGGCCCCCCTTCCAGTGGGCCCCGTGAAGTGTGGTGCAGCGCAGTCTCGGAGCTGCCCGGGCATCGGGCGCCGAGGAGAGGGTCGCGCGCGCTGGGCGGGGGCGACAAGGCGGACCGGAGCCCGAGCGACGCCGCAGCGGCCGTGACCGAGGAGTCCCGCGGCCGCCGTGCTCCCCGCACCTCGCCCCCCGGCCACTCCCGCGCTGGAGCCCTCGGCGAGGCCCCCGTGGGCCGACGTTCGCGCCGACGGCGGCGCCGGCCGCGGCGGGGCGGCTCCCGGAGGTCCTGTCTCCGGCCGGGCGAGGGATGCGCGGAGCCCACGGCAGCGGCCCCCGCGACTCTGGCCCGCAAGCGCTCCCTGCCTCCCCGAGACCGCAGACGCCGGCGGCGGCCGCCTCGGGCCCTGGCCATGGAGAACATCGTGGCCAACACGCTGCTGCTGAAGGCGCGCCAAGGTGGGTGTGGTGGGCGTGCGCGACCCGGGCTTCTCCCGCGCGGAGCGGTCCTCGGGGCCTGGGAGGCGGTGAGGGGTGAGCCGCGTTCCGCGGTGGAGACTGAGCCGGAGCAGAACTGCTTCCCCTCTCTCAGCTCCCCCAGCGACCCCGGGTCGTGCGGAGTTAGGCTCAGGGGAGGGCTTGATTGGCAGGCACCGCGCCGCCCGCACGGTGGAAGCCGGGTCCGAGGGGAGGGCT